ATAGTACTAATGAAAATAATAAATAATTTTAGTAGACGATTTAAAAAAAATAATAATTTAGCTATTGAGAGGACAGTGACGCAAGGGAATCAAACCCGTCGGGCCGTCGTCCATGCCACGGTTCACGCGTTACGTGTGACTTGTCATACTAATTTTAGGTTTGATTTGAATAGTTCCAAATATTAATAAACAATACATATAAATACATTTTGAAGTTTTCGTGTTTTCATATATCCCATACTCATTAAAATAATTTATAGAAATGAGTAAGATTCTCCTTGAAATTAGCATAATTTTGTTTACAATAATCATTTCATAACTAGAATCTTATAACATAATAAACATGAAAAGTTGTTTTCACGTACATTGACCTCCGAGATCACGACAACTACACGTATTTAAATTACACATACGCGTGTGTTTGTTTGCAACAATTATAATTTTCAACAGTTATATTATTTAAGTAGTAATGACATGAGCGATACTTTTAATGTGTATATGAAATCTTAAACGTTAACTTGTTTTGTAATTAAAAAGAAGATATATATCAATTACTATATATTAATTTCAGATATTTTTTTCTTTTGAATTATTGGGATCTATGTTATTCTATTTCGTCAAAACAGTATCAAAGAAGGTATATTCTACGATGCGTGCTAAAACAACAAAATCTTGTAATTACTAATCAAATCAGGGATATAATGTATTCGAATAAAATATTAAAAACCTAATAGAGATGGTAATTGTTAGAGAGATCGTATAATAAATTATAATATGAATAAAAGTTCTGATTATAAATTCGTTTTAAAAATTAATATATCACTATAACAATAACACTAGTTGTTATAAGTATAATGTTATCGCAAATGGAAATTTGGGTTTATGGCAAATCAAAACAGGACTGTAACCTAATCTCGACGAGAAAAGAACCAAACCGGATGTCGGAGGAGAAGGTTAGTGTCGGTTTTTGGCAGTTGGGCCACGTCAGTGCCACGTGTTTTCTCGAATCCGTTTCGTCGGTTAAGGTTTAAAGTCTATGTGGGTCCGTCTCATGCTCTGACAGTTGACCGTTCATCTGTACGGTGGCAAGTGGTCCCCACTTATCCAACTCTTTGCCGACAACTCCTTGTTAGTTTGTTTCTCCTCCTTTTTAAATATATAAAAAAAAATTGAAAATTAAATTAAATTATTTAATTGTTTTTTTTAATGTAAATTATTTAATTGTTGATTGGGCCATTAGTTTTTTTTGGTGTTGCGCCATTAGTTTATCAAAGCAGTTTTAAAATATATCATTTATTTTTCACGATTATAATATGGATATTTCATGTCCCCTTAATTATAATTATTTGTGTCATAATCTTACGTTGATATTCTAACAAACATTAAATTAAATTGTCATAGAAAAATAAGTACCACGAATCTTAATCAAACCTAAATCTGTCAGATTATAATACCACGTGGCATTACTAAATCGACTCTTACATCTATAATAAACCCATTTTAACAAAAAAAATTATACACACAATATCACTAACATCGCATCGATTCTTCATATATTATAAGATAAAATTTAAGAATAATGGCGAAGTAAATAGTTAGCTAGATGGATGGAGTATAGCCCGTGACGAACTAAAGGAATTTTCGTTGGTCTCTCCGACAGGCAATGAGACAAATCGGTGTTGAGATTATAGAGTGCATGTGACATGAATCAATGTATGTATGTATGTATGTATGTATGTATGTATGTATGTATGTATGTATGTATGTATGTATGTATGTATGTATGTATGTATGTATGTATGTATGTATGTATGTATGTATGTATGTATGTATGTATGTATGTATGTATGTATGTATGTATGTATGTATGTATGTATGTATGTATGTATGTATGTATGTATGTATGTATGTATGTATGTATGTATGTATGTATGTATGTATGTATGTATGTATGTATGTATGTATGTATGTATGTATGTATGTATGTGTTTGGGGTCCAACGATACTTGATTTTATGGGAATGATAACAAAACTACATTTGGAAAAGAACAATAAAATGGAAATGAGATACTGCCATATAGATATAGTGCAAGCATACAACAAATGTCATCAAACACATGATTACAAAAACAGCACACATTCACACACACACACACACACACATATATATATATATACATCTTGTTATTGTCGGAGTGCATGCCGAGGCTGAATGAAAATATCGGGAATTTTGTTGCATCTACAAAAGGAATACTAATAACAACATTTTTTTCTCCGTAAAATAATTCAGATAATGAATATAAATCATTGTCAAATTTATGGTTCGTTATGTACATATTAGTAACGTACGTGTACATATTAAAATTTATGGTTCGTTGAAAAATTCAATGATTTGGATACACATATATACATATACATACGTGTGCCGTGTGAGTGTAGTTTTTTTAGAAAATGCGACGGATGTGCTGGATTAATAAATAAAACATCAATTTCATCTGAAAATCCGAAATTCACGTACGGGATGTCTCACGTTTTTCTAATATTATACATATGTACCTATATACAAAAAGCATAGTGTATCGTATATTTATATATATACGCCCACACATATGTACATATATATACGTGTATGTGTGGTGTGATTACACACACACACACATATATATATATATGGTACCGAAAATGGGAATGAGCATGCAGAGATAACATGTGGGAGATGACAAACTCCAAAGACAGGAATATTGTTGTACGTACAGTCGACAACATGCGTGGCGGTGACTCATTTTCAATTCAATTAATTAAAAAAAAACACGCCTTATAAATATCCCATATTTATACAAACACTTTCTATTAAAAAAACCTTTTTTTATTTGTCTCTTACGATCGATCCCTTATTATCTTCGAGAGATTCTTTGCAAGTTTTATTTTTGCAATGAGGTACAAATGCATGTGTTTGTGTCCTTTTTTTTCGTTATTATTTCGTTGTCAATAGAGTTTCACTACGAAAATATAGCCTTTAACGACTATTTTAATGTGTCACATTGCGGTGTATTTTTTTATATATATAGATTGTGTCGTATAGTATACTTATTATACATGTCTGTTTGTAGCTAAGAGGAATTCATATTGCTTGGAGAACCATCACAAAATCACAAAATCACAAAATAAATTCGATTTTTATACATTGACAAAATGATCTATAATGTCGTTTATTTTTTTATCATCACACGAATATATATATATATATATTATACACAAACACACGATTTTAAAGAATAAAAAAATATTAATTACTATCTAAAAGATAATATTGAAATATATCATGTGTATAAATTAAGTTTTTTTTATAGAAATAAAATGATATTGTTTTAAAAAATTTATTATTGATATATTGAATGTATATATATACTTTGTGGATTTTTCTCACGCATGTTTTGAATAAGCGAACAAATTAATATATATGATCTAGTAATGCCAAAATGAACTTGTCTCGTGAGCCATCCCATGTTTCTTGATTTGAGTAAAAAAATCGAGTTTAAAAACGGACTTTCAAATAGTTTTTAGTTTTTAAATACTTTTATTATATTTAATATTTTTTTTTATTTTTTATTTAACTCGCGAATTAGAGCGATTTAGATTGGCATAGAATTTTTGACCGCAGAGAATATATATATGTGTATGTGTGTGTGTGTTGTGTGTAGATACGTGTACAAGTTTGTTCTTTCTGGCTCGAGAAAGTTAAACCTTTACTCCATCTCTCTCACGTCCATTGGGCCAGCATCAGGCTCAATATATGTATATATATATATATATATAATGTATGTATACGTGTAAAAGTACTCTACTTTTCTATATATATATATATATGTATATGTATGCATGTAATATATATATATATGCGTAAAATCTAAATTCGAGGAGTAGATTTCAAACCACTTCACATGCATGGAGAAGAACAGCACATGTCACTTGTCTATTTCCCTTCTAATGGTCCCTTTTTGGAGATTTTCATAATAATATATATTGTATTTTTATTTTATAATTTTGGACTAACGACCATATATAGAATTAGATATCTTATCCAACTATTTTTGTTTCCAATAGAGGAAAAAAATGAGACCCCTTACATACATTCCACGCTCTGTTTCAGTTTACGTATCGATGATGATGGCGACGAACGATGATTAAATATAACAATTGTATGGATAATACGATGAAGAAATATCACAATTTAGAAATATAATTATGCATATATGGCAATATCAGTTTATAAAAAGATCGAGATTATTCCATAACCTAACAGATGGCGACAAAACCCAACATTTTGTTTATAATGTTTTTTTAATCAAAATTTAATAACGTTTTTCTTAGGCTAAGACAAAGAAGTCAAATTTTATATTCTTATGTATTTAAAATTTTATTTTATTACAGATGTGAAAAGTATCACATCAGAATATTTACATAATGACCAGGGAGCCGTATCAAAGTTTTTTCAATACAATAACCAGTATCATCACAAACTTTTGAGAAATCTCATATAAAAATAAATATTAAGCCAAAATGTATATATAAGTAAATATATGATTATTAATGTTATTATTCTTTTGTATTTTCAATAGGAAAATCTGTACGTGTATTCCTATCCTATCCTATTTTTTTTTTTTAAATCGAAATCAACAACATATTATTTTATTTTAAAACATTAGAGTTGATTTGATTTCATTTTAACTATTATCCATAGTCCATATTAGAGATCATCTTATTTCAAGCCCATTATAAATTTTAAATACCCAAATAAGGCCGAAACTTATTTTGGGCCTACCCATATAAAACTATCTCAATATATTTATAATGGGCCGTCTCGGTGGGGTCGAAACTCACAATGACGATTTAATGGGGGTTAATACGAAATTTGGTGATAGTTATGAGCAATAATTGTAAATATGTAGAAGTTGTGTGGGCCAAATTATGATTAAAAAAAGGAAGAAGAAAGAAACGTTCAACTGGAGGCAGAGAATCTCGTGTCGTCGTCTTCTTCTTCTTCTTCGCTGTCTTTGGACGTGGCTCCTCTGTTCCGATCGGGTCCCGTGTGCGAATACAGGGGTGAACTCTGAAATTTAGGGTTTCTTCTCCGTTTGGAATTTGGAAAATCAAGCTTTCTCTTTGTTGAATTCGATCGAGCGTACACGATAGTGGAGGAAAAAATCGATGATACTTCTCCAGTCGCATTCGAGGTTTCTCCTCCAGACCTTGTTAAATCGCGTTCAAAAGTGAGTGACTAATCTCAATCTCATCTTTTTCACGTCAATAGTCACTTCGTATGTGCCGGGAAAGGCGATTTGTTTATTCAGTATCTCAATCTGAACGCATTTGTTAAAATCTGGATTACTTGCTTGCACTTTAAGTTGCTTCCAGCTTTTGATGTGGTTTATAAGCATTTTTAGAAGTCATTTGTGATCTGATGTTGTTGTTATCAGTTCTTCTTAGGAATTATGACACTGTTGTACACATTTTTATGGATCAATGAAGTTTTAAGGGCCAATCTTTGAATTTGTGGGTATGAAGCTGTATATATTCTCAGTGTTGTTCCAGTTTCTGGGGTTTCAAAGAAATCCTTGAAGAAGTTTCACAAAGTTTTGATTTTTTATACCTTTATGATCTCTTAGTTTCTTGGAAGCAGCCTCTTGCAGACTGTTCTGCAAGGTAAGTGGTGGGATCCTTCCCCAGACCCCCTCAACGGGATGCTTTGTACACCGAGCTACCCTTTTATGATCTCTTAGTTTGCCACTGTTTTCATTTTTTTTGGTTCTGCAGCCTTGACAAAGCAGTCGAGCTAGATTATCAGTGGATCGAATTCGATGATATCCGTTACCATGTTCAGGTAAAACTCCACCTTCTTGTGTTCAATTTCTCAAGATCAGCATATTCTTTCTTCTTGCTTTGTTCTTGGGACGTTCAGTTCTAATATATAGTGTTTATAGGTGACCATGAAAAATCCAAATCACTTGTTGCTATCGGTATCGTTACCTAACCCTCCGCCCGAGGCTATGTTCTTTGACGGACTTCCTTTGGGAGCTATTGAGGCGATAAAGACTACCTATCCCACCGGGGTTCAAATTCTTGATCCTCCTAGAGATGGCTTCAATCTCACCTTGAAGCTGAATTTTTCTAAACTTCCCCCCGATGAAGGTTCAACCAGTTCCTTTTCTAAGGTCATTATGATCTTGCCATGTAGATGCACAAAAGAAACTTTAAAAGAATCTCGAACGACTTCACTTAGGCTTTCTTTTTTGTTTCCATGGTTGCGTTCCTCCAAGTCTGCACTTTATGCCTTCTCTGCTTGGTCTATCTCTGAAATATGGTTTCGTTCCATTGAAAAATTTCCTTCTTTCAATGCTTTTATTCTGATTTGGGTGTAGCTCTCTTCTTTCTTACCGCGAATGCTAATGTTCTGCAGAGTACAAGAACTCACTCCTGACCAACCTTGCTTCCATTAGAGAGGTAGTGCTGGGCGCACCGTTGAAAATCATTCTCAAACATCTATCTTCAAGAACTGTGGCTCCCGAGCTAGATAGGCTTGTTGCCATCATGCATAGACCCAATGAGACGTTTTTCATCATTCCTCAGGTATCTGTCCTTTGAATATAGAATTATGTATTTGATCTCTGATCTTCAGAAGCTTCATAGTGTAGGTCTCAAAGTCTGGTTTTTTTTCCCAATGTAGGTTCTGAAGAGTAATAAATCATAGTCACTCCATCTTTTCTGAAAGAAATCAAACTAATGGATTATTCAATTACGATTTTCTCGCAGCCTGATAAGGCCACTGTGGTCTTCCCTATGAGATTTAACGATTCAGTAGACACCATTCTGGCTACCTCCTTTTTGAAGGTAATGTTTTAGCATATGTAAATACGGTTAAATCTTTCGAGCAAGCTGCTCTACGATCTGGCTCTTATGGAGTGTATTACTAAAAATGTTTGTACGATATAGGAATTTGTTGAAGCAAGGCGTACCGCTGGGCTTAATAACGCTCCTTCTTGTTCTTGGTCTCCAAATCCACCACTGGAACTGGAGGGAGCTCCCAAAGAATCACTGTCTGCCAGCGCGGGCTTTGTATCTTTTGGTATGTCTGATCATCGTTGCATCACTCGGTATGTCTTTTTCCTGGTCCCGAATTAAAAAAAAATAATCCAAGATATTACACAACATATGCAGTCATTTTTCCTCGACATGTGGAAGCGAAAAAGCTTGACCGTACTGTCTGGAACTTATCGACCTTCCACGCATATGTTAGCTACCATGTCAAGGTAGGTTTTTCTTTCACGGTCTAGCTTGTCAGCGTACACTGAAAATAATCGATGTAAGCTTCTTTTAGAGCCATCTACTAGAAGCTTTCTCCCCCAGTTTTCTTCAAGCAAATTCTGTAGAATGCGAATCTCTTGATTTAGAATCTTTATTGCTCTAAATCTCAGTGCTCAGAGGGGTTTATGCACACCAGAATGCGGTGTCGTGTAGAATCTCTTATCCAGGTCGAGAGATTCTTCCTCCTTTCCTTTTCAAGTCCATTCTTTGAGGGTAGTAGTAGTAGATGCATGTCATTACTAACACGGTCGGGATCTCATTCTTTGAACTGTTTTCCTTTTGTGTTCATTTCTTAGGCCCTGGATCGAGCTAAACCGCTGGAGAAGACGAGATCGATGAACAAAAGATCGTTTAAACGAATGGTAACGTGGCTGAAACTCGTATCCTCTTTCGTCAATCCCCAAAAACCGAAAAGTTTAAAGGACTTTAGAAATCATGTCTGTGTTTTTTTCATTACTGATGCAGAGCCTCAACAATGTTCATACCAACTCGAGTTGACGTCAGTTTCCAAGGAACCGGAGATCCGATCATCAACCGCTTTTCGCCAATTTCTCGACCTCTTGAGGCAATTTTGTAAAATCTTGTGGATAGCGCTCAGGTACCTTCATTCAGTTCACCACCAAATGTTTTGCATTTTATTTATTTATTTTACATTTAATGAGTTGAAAAAAGAATACAACTCTTTATCTACCGAGTTTTGTTGTTAAGGATCTTCGACAAATTATGCAACTTTCATCCATCGTTAATAATTCCTGCTTGCCTGAGAAAATCTTCGTCCAAATTGGCGCATAAGTTCTGGAAAGAACAGAAGAGCAAGAAAATTGACCTTAAAGAATCAAACTTTCCGAGAAAGTTCAGAGACCCAGAAAGAACAGGAGATTTTTGAAGCTCAAATTGAATGCCAACGTTGTTCACAGCACGATTCTACGTCCAGAAGGGTGACATAATCAGCAGCAAAGTTTCGCACATTTCCATCGGAATTCAAACTGCAAACCGGAAATTTCTACGCCTTTCTAAAATTAGGGTTTTCCGGAGTATTCCTACAAAAACAAGCAAATGAAACACCGTAAGAATTTTTGCCAAACTGAACAGACGAAGAAAAAAAAAAGGCAAAAAGAAACCGTACAGTGATGGATGCAAAAGAACAGCGTCTAATACCTTCATTTGTACGGAAATGGTTGCAGAAGAGAAGAGAGAAACACGAAGTTTGTTCTTCCGCAGAAGAAAAAGACAACACGAGACGACGACGAAGAGAGAGGCTGTATTTTTTATTTTTTTCAGTTGAGTGCTGTCTGAAACGGCCTTTTCTAGAGTGTTTACGGCCCATAGTTGAATATCGGGCTTCTTTATATGGCCCATTAAAATATATTAAATTAGTAATTAAAAATTAAAAAAGAAAACATTGGCGTCGCCCGGACTTGAACCGGAGACCTTCAGTGTGTTAGACTGACGTGATAACCAACTACACCACGACACCGTTTGTATAGTGAAATTTATAAAAAAATAATTGAATTACGATATTTTAGTTCTTTTTTTATTCTAAAGATAAAGATTGTGTTGATTATACATATATATATCATTGCACAATGAACCATAATACCATATGTATTGCATTAGAGTTTCACTTAATTTGCTAATATGATATATACATATCGTTGAAAAGGAGGACGAACCTATGAACACAAAAAACAGATGCATCCAAAATAGAAGGCATTTTACGGTGTTCAATGCATAGCGTATGAACAAGAAAGGACACGTGTAAGAACCCCACGAACTTTATGAATCTCTCAACCTGTACATTTGTCTGAACACACATACCAAAACAAACATATATATATATATATACACGAATGTAAAAAAAAATGGCAAAAGTAAATGTATTTCGTAAAGGTTTTGACCGTTCAAGATTGAAATAGAAGAAGGGAAGGGGGGGGGGGGGTTGAATTAAATGGACTGCTGCAATGTCTACAGCTTATTAGGGTGAAACATAGAGAGTAGGAGAAAGAGTTATAAACATTGGATAAAGAGCAAAATAAATAAATAAATTAAAACCAAAAATAAATAAATAAATACACATTAAAAAAAAAAGACAACAGTCAATGTGTTGTCAAAGAGTCAAAGTGTTTTTAAGTGTTTTCCATTCTTCATGTCTGTCTCCATTTGTCCTTCCTCACGTTCCCCCACCAATTTCCCAAGTTTTAATATATATAAAAAAAAATTTAAAAAAAAAACGGAAAAAAGAGATGTATATTATTTGTGGTGTAAACAAAGTTGGTGATAGAATGAAATTAATTATATTTGTAGGGTTAAACTAACGGAGATGCTTGTTAGTGTTTAAATAAATTATTTTTTCTTTGTAAAATAAGAGATTTTTAAGACGCAATGGATTTCGTTCCTATAGTAAGTGGGGGGGAGGTGATACAATGATCTAAAATTTAAAATACATATATATAATTAAAAAAATCTACAATGTATAGGAAAAGATTTTGTAATTACACTATTAATATATGAATTTTAAAATTTCCAAAAAATGTGCAATTTTTTTATCTCACTTAAAATTATGAATTTTACGTCTTTTTTTGTTTGACTTTTTATTTTATTTTTAAATATTTATAACATTCTAAGCATCTTTTTCAAAATTTTTTTTGTAAAGATTCATTGTCTTAACTAAAAGTCGAATTTTTTTATGTTTCTGTAAATTTTAAAATTCATTGTATTGATTTAGGAATTGTTAATAATTTTTGTTGTATTTAATATAAGAGTTGATAATAAATTATATATATATATATATATATATATATAACCTAATAATTGTTGAATGAGGAACAGGGGAACCATTTAAGAAACGACTTTGTAAAAGACTACAAAAAATGCAACACTTTCTTCTTCTCAACATATTTCGAAGAGAACTCTCGGTTCTTACAAGTATAAGAATGTTGGAATGATATATATATATATATATATCATATTTATAATATGAGATTATCCAAATTTAGATCGTTCACATGGTGAAATGGGATGCAAAACGTATGTTTCGTCATGAATTCGAATCTCAAATTTCGGAATTAATCTGAATTTTTGTCCAAAATATCCGGTTATAAAAAATATGAGATTTGTTTTCTGTTTTTCTTTTTCGATTTTAAATGCGTATTTAAGTTTAGATTTTCTTCTGAAAACTATAAATGCTATGTAAGTTATGTCTGTGGGTGTTCTATGAAGTAGCTGTTTGTATAGATATATATATACTTTTATACAGTATAATACATATATATATATATGGGCAATAATGGTATATATGATTAACTTGTCATAATTGGAGAATTCATTTTTGACAGACACGTACGTGTATCTAGTTTTTGACATTTATGCTAAGAAATCTGAATCGTATTTGCTATGTATACATCTTATTAAGACAATTAAAACTCTTGAAGTTATCTTTATGTAACTCTACATAGATATATTCCACTGCATAATATGTATATATATATATATGTGCAATTTCAGACATAGACTATTTGGTTTGAATACTCCAATAAAATACTTTATTATACGTATATCCCATGTGTTTAAGATGGTAATTTTGGTCCAATAATTCTAGACGAATTGATATTCCATATTACTAGTTATGCCAAAATATGGTTTTTCTATATATATATATATATATATAATTGTATATATTAGCGAGTACGAATATATTGCGTTCCTCTTATAAAATAACACTTGTAACAACAGGCCACGCGTAATATAGGACGGTTATGCAGTAGTGTCCTAAAACAAAATATCGTGTCATTGTTTGTAACGAAATGGCACAACATATTGATATTACTAATAATGTTAATTATGTAATTGCTAATAATTTTCTATATATGCAAATACAAATAATGAATAAACAATTTTTTTTTCCCGTTTATGCAAACATTACCGCTATATATATACACACAGTTGCAGATGGACCATTACCCATAAGAACAAAAAAAAAAATATAACTTGAGAAAAAAAAAAGAACAGGGTAAAACAAAACACAGCAAATCTCAAGCCATGAACGACGGCAGAGTCAACGCAGAACAACAACAAGAAGAAGAGATCATCGTTGTCTCCGCCGGTAAGCCGCCGCCGCCACCGCCACCACCGACCCGCCTCCGGTCTCTTCCGCTACTGGCGGCCACGTACGGATGTCTCTTCGCCGGCTCAATCGCGTCGAGCCTCCTGGCGAAGTTCTACTTCGTGAACGGTGGCTCGAGCCGGTGGGTGTCCACGTGGGTCCAATCCGCCGGATTCCCTCTTCTCCTCCTGCCCATCTACCTCCCCTACCTACTCTTCCCCACGCGTTTCACGCGCCGACCATTCACGCGCTTCACGCGCCGCCACCTCGTGTTCTCCGTCTTCGTCGGCATCATGCTCGGATTCAACAACCTCCTCTTCTCGTGGGGAACATCGTATCTTCCCGTCTCGACATCTTCGCTTCTCCTCTCGACACAACTCATCTTCACTCTCATCTTGTCCGTACTCATCGTCAAACAGAAGATCACTTTCTCAAACCTGAACTGCGTTGTCCTGTTAACACTGAGTTCCGTACTGCTCGCTCTCGGTTCCAGCACTGATAAACCGGCCGGTTTAACCCGGTCTAAATACTTCATCGGGTTTATCTCCACGGTCGGAGCCGGTTTACTCTTCGCGCTCTATCTCCCGGTCACGGAGAAGCTCTACCGGAGCGTTTCGTGTTACGCCATGGTCATGGAGATGCAATTGGTGATGGAGATTTCGGCTACGGTTCTCGCGATGATCGGTATGGTTTTCGACGGCGGGTTTGCGGAGATGGTTAAGGAGGCGAACCGGGTTTTCGCCAAAGGACCGGTTTGCTACTGGTCGGTGGCGATCGGTGTCACGGTGGTGATGTGGCAGCTCTGCTTCGCCGGGACCGCCGGGCTGGTATACTTAACGTCGGGGATCACCGGAGGAATCTGCATGACGGCGTTACTCGCCATGAACGTTATCGGCGGCGTGGTGGTTTACGGCGATGAATTCGGCGGCGTTAAGGCCGTTTCGACGGTTCTCTGCGTCTGGGGGTTTTGCTCGTACGTCTACGGGCTTTATACAAAGACGAAGGAGGATGAGAAATTGGCGGCGGCGGCGGCGGACGGCGGAAGAGGAAATTCCGTCGAGAAAGGTGCGGCGGAGGAGGGTGCCGGAGGTATGGAGATGGTGCGGGTTGGTGTAGCGGCGGCGGCGGCGGCCGATGAAAGGGTGTGATATCTTTTTGATTGTGACGTCCGTTATGATAAATTATAATTTTATAATTATAAAAAAAGTGTCTTTTTGTGTTCTTTCCTTTTCTCTTATGATTTTCTTCTTTTTTTTAAAAAAAAATGTGTATGCTTTTGTGTTTTTTTCCCTTTTTTGGTTAATTTAGAACTTATCTAATCTTGGCCATATGATATCTATGTACATGTCACTATGTGAAATATGTCAAGGCGGTCTTTAAGCTGCAGTGTGTATATATATATATATATATATACACATATATATATATATATATATTTGTCTTAGCCCTTTTTATAACTTGGGATCTTATTATGAATATTTAGAAGAAAAAAAAGCAGCATATTTGGTTACACAATTTTGATTAATATAGATTTCAAATATAAAGATGATATAATAATATTTCAAATATACAAATCATAGCTCCCTTGCAAAATGAACAAATTTTACAGAACAAATTTTGTGATATTAATTATGTCATTTCATTTAACTATTCTGTGGTATAAAAAAATATAGATTATGCGGAAACATGTGGATCAAGAATTAGATTTAAAAAAAATTAGTTATTTAATCTATGAATTATTTTTTTTCAGAAATAGAGTATATGTATCACGCTCACAGTTTATTAATTATATTTCACCCGTGCGAATGCGACTACTAGAGAGAAATGGTCTACACGAATATAATGATTCAGTAAATCCGTACCACCGGAGACTTTTAAAAAAACTTTTATTTGTTCAACTTCAAAATATTATCCACATTAATATTTTTGGTACAACTGTATATTTTTATTTACATTTAAGAATATAATTAGAAGGCGACCTTCGTAATCAAATACTACATGGCATGATAAAGTAGATAAATTTGGATAGGAGCCATTTAACTATAAGGTTAAAAATAATAATAAATCTCATTATGAGATAAACTAGTTATAATGGTGTATTATAAATCTATAAGCACTTGTAAAGGTCATTACGTACACACGTAGCGATCGCGAAACCCATGAGATTAATCGCTAAAGAGAGAAAAAAAAAAAGGCCCGATGAGATTAATATCAGTGAATTAAATATAAGATATGGGCTAAATACAAAAAATATATTACAAATATCCAATTAGATTTCCGCAAAATCTATTTAATTATTTTATTGTCTTTCTATTGTATTTAGATTATATTAAAGTAATTTCTCTATGATATTTAATACTTCATTTAAAAAAGAATTCGAGAGATATTAATGCTCACATTCAATATAGAGAGATTCTCCAATTACACCAATGATGATGATGATGATGATGATGGGTGATTAATTAGAGAAAAGATTACAATAACTTAATTAAGTGGAGAAAAAGAAAGAAGAGACATGCTTAATCGGTGATGATGCAGCTTGGCATTAAGTTGGTGTTTGATTACGAACATTGTCTGCTTAATGCTCTTGTTTTAATTAAGTATACATATAGTTTATAATTTTATTTTATTTTATTTTTGGTGAGCCACTTTAACATGAGAATGACATTTTGTCTTTTGATTGTGATTTGTTTTGTTTTGGCTTATTTCTTTGATTAAACCCCTTTGTTAACAAATTGGAAGATCCATTTATAATATATTCTCTACATCATTCCGATTCTGAAACTTTGTTAACCACATAATCAAAGACGGGGATATACACTAAAATGATATTAAATTTAAAAAATTTTACTAATCTAAAATTTAGATAGTTCAATCGGTTAAACGAATCGCAAAATGTCTATCCTATCTCGAATTCGAATTTCAAGTTTGGAGAACGAACATATATTTCAAATCACATAACTAGCTTCCGACTTTGTGATTAATTTCTTGGTCCAAATTACCTGATTATCCAATTTTTTTTTACTAATTTAGTTTAGAAAATATGTAAATACTAATACAGGGTTAAAATATTATGGAGAAATGAATGTGATATCCCGAGTTATGATGAGGATTGACAGTGTTCGTCGGTGCAAATGACACGATCAAGGAGTGATTCTCCCAGTACCATTAAGGCCAAAGGGATATAGAAATAAATCGAACGCATTGAAATGAGAGAGATCCGAGAGCTATATAGGTATGAGATTATGTAGTCTAATATAAATTAAAAGAATCAGTTGAGTCACTCATTACAATACGGTGTATCTATCTTTTCGGTTAACTATCTTGAGAAAATTTTAAAGTTAAACGTGTTGACTCTGGAACAATTTAACGATGGGTGATCTAACGGAAAGTGTATCGGTATACGTGCGAACGAGTGCGAGCGAGGACAAAACACGTTAGAAGGTCTCGTGTTAGTGTGTTAGTTTGTGAGGACAGTTTCAATATTTCGTAGAATGAAACCGATTTTGGGATGAATAGAGAAGTGGGGTATGATTAGTGAAAGTGGCAGGTAATTAATTACTCCATTAAGCAAACCCAAAAGGAGAGAGCGAGAGCGAGAGAGATTAGTTAACTAAAGGAACATGCTTAGATCTCAAAAGAGCGAATGCAAGAATTAAGTAATATGATGTTAAAAGAGAGAAACCAAAGATAAGGAAGCGACGAAAGAAAAAAAATGAGTGTGATGCTTCTTTAATTTATAAATCAATTGGAAACATGGACCCCTTTTGTATTATTTGTTAGAATTAATGGTTCCAATTAGTAATAATCTTTTTTTAAAAAAATTATAAGGTTTAGTTTAATAAATATAGAGCGGTATTAAACAAATGTTACTTACTGACTATGGTTTGTATGATGAATACTTAATATAATATAATGTTAAGAGGGATTAATGTTTTTTATTCTTCCGTTCTTTATTTTATTCAACATGATTTTGATCATATAATAAAACAATATTTAGTTAATTTTCATCACTATATATATATATATACTGTCTGTCGTAATTGATGTAGAACTATAGAGAAAAATAATATTGTTCTTTTGTTTGTATAGTATCAATTTTTTATGATTACTGGAAAAGTAATTTGAAATTATTATGAACTTATTATATTTTAAAAAATATATTTATAATCTCATTTATCCAACAAGAGCATAATAAGTCATTGGATCATGATTATATATAAATATGTAATCCCTATAGTTTATAAGATATGTTGAAACTCACTTCCTAGCTCCTCCCCTAAATTTCTAACAATTCATAGGATCGTATGGAAATGATGGTGAAAATAAAATTTTAGGGTTTAGAAAATACCGCACAATAATTTAACTACACCTTCTTGGTTGATATATAAGATTGAAACAACTTATTTTTTTTATTCTTTTAAATCAAATCAACTCATCGGTCCATATCCTCTATATATGTTTTGCATTGTATATATATATATATACATAGATATGTGTGTGTGATTTAACAACGAGAAATAACAAACCAATAGCTATATGGATAATATAATAAGCACCGCAGATTCGTCACCACGTCAAGGTTTTATTTGTTTAATAAAAAGATTGTTAAATTTCATTCTCTACTCCTTATAATATTCTCAGAAAGTTATGACGGCAGGGATAATACGATTACCCGTAATCCAACTACTACACAATTATAATTTATTCAATTATATATTAACGCACATCTTATTTAAATGCAAATAAACTACAAATAATATAATATAATGTTATAAATTCAATTACATAGTATCTGCAACCACTGATCATCCCAAAGGTCAACAGCTAAAGCACACTTCCAACCCTTATTCTTTTTCGTTGTGTTTTTTTTTTAATAAAAAAAAATCTTTTTGGTTTGTTTAATTTAGTAATAATTATACCATGGGACTCTAAACCTCCTAAACTAAGTTTTAATTAAATACGAAAAAGGTAATTAATGGGCAGACTCTTCTTATGATTATAAAAAAATAATTAGAATTAGTGGGGAAACTCGTAAAATTTAGTGCAGAACAATCATTATAGGCATAGAAAAAAACTGAATGAATATGGACCCACAGCAATTTATGCTTCTCATAATCTAATGATTATGTGGAGACAGACAAATGTTTTTCACCAACTAAACTTTACTTTCCATTGCTATTTCCGTATCTTCTTCGTATATTATCTTCTTTCTTCTTAAAAAGAATGTGACATCAAATCCATTTTTTTTCGTGGCTGCTTCCTATTATCTTTTTTTTTTTAAATTGTCGTTTTTGAAAGGCGTAAATATATATTTTTTTTTAGAAAATAAGAGAATTTTTCTCTTTTATACCCATTATTGAAAATTGGGCTTGTCGTCAATTAAATCAAATTTAGAACATATGATATAAGCCCATGTGTTGTCAAGTGTCTCTTGAAGTCCAAATTATTATTTAAGCCTTTCTTTCACAAGCCCAATACCAAATGGATACAGACTATTTAAAATAAAACCGAACGCAAACCCAAATACAAAAAAAGATTTTAAAAAAAACATCAAAATTTTTTTAATGAAAAAAAAATTATCAAAAAAATCTAATTAAAACCAAATGACCACAATTCTTTTTAAAATGAGAACCCGGATGTCTATTATGCTAAATACTAAGGTCTACGGTAGAGGACAAAGGAAGCAAACATATGATCATATGATATATTGGTCCAACCTTTGTAAATCCCAATATTCGCCAGTTCGTGCAAACCAAAAATAATTATTTAATGTATCATATATTATAATTCTTAATTTTACACAATTATCATAGTTTCGATATATTATATCTCATGTTGTCTGCTTTCAAACGAAACGCAGAAACAAACATGGAAGCCACTACTCTGCTACTCCTACGCGGCCATGGACATGCTTCCCACTTCCTTCGTCTTCGTATATATGAATCTGCACTCTGCAACTTTTTTTTTTATATTAATCCCAAACCCTAGAATTCGATTTTGGTACCCTTTTTTTTTTTAAAAAAAAAAATTGGATTCAGAGCTCTTATGTCTCCTCCGGCGATCATCGCATTTGACGATCACTTGACCCAGAAGGCGAATGATGACGAATGGCAAGGATTTAGGGTTTTTCCCGCTGAGAACCCTAACCCTAATCTCAATTTCTTGGTGAAGCAAGCGATCCTGCAGAGCGAGAAATCCGTCCGCCCGATCTTCACCTCGCATTCATCGTCGTCGGCGACGGACGACAGCTTCAGATTGGTGTTGCCGCCGGCAATGCCTCCGCCGCGAGACTCCGCCGTGCCTCTTCCTGTTCTCCCGGAGTCGATGAGATCCGGAAAGAAGCTGACCCGTCACGAATCGATGGTTTCCCTGAGGAAATCATCTCGGTATTCCGAGAAAATCATCTACGGAGAAGAGAATTTCACATGCAACCCATTTCGCCTGACACTTCCAGGATTCGGGAAACAGAAGCTGGTGAGATCATCGAAGCGAGAGGATTCGATGGAGAAGAAGATGATCAGAGCTTCGTCATTCTCGAACTCATCGACGATCTCGACCCGTGCTTCGATGGAGAAATTCGAGTGCGGATCATGGGCTTCGACGACGGCGTTGGCCATCGACCGTGGAAGATTCTTCGATTTGCCTGTCGAGATGATCAAATCAGGAGGAGGACGAGATTCGCAGAACCCAGTGACTTCCGGGCTCATGTTCGAGAGAGAATCGACGGATCATCAGGTTCTGAGAAGCGTTCTTAAGACGAGCAGCTCTCCGTCGCGACAACCTCGGAGGTCGCCGGAAAATTCGCCGCCTCGCCGTGTCCGATTCTCGGCGTCGGTTTCATGTCCGAGTTCGCCGCGTTCGTCCATTACTCCGAGGCTTCGAAAGGCAAGGGACGACTTCAACGCGTTCTTGGCCGCTCAGAACGTCTGAGAAAGCAGAGCACCGGAAACTCCATACATTTATATACACATAATGTATTTATGTCTCTCTGTACGTGTGTATGTATATGTTTGTACCTATCTATGTAAGTATTTCTGCGTATATAGCTATGGAGGGACAGCATTCGTTGTCCTGAACTGCGTTTGCCAGTAACTGAAATTTCAGTGTTTGCATCAACATCCCTTGAAGATCTTGTTTCACTGACATTTGGCGTTTAACTTAAACGCAAACGCGAACATATTGGACTCCGATGACCGTGTGTCATACAATTCTTCTGAAAATCGGTATTTTGCAATTTTTGGCATTGAATAGTTTAATTGCAATATAACCCACAAACGCGACAAACACGAATTTAATCGCAATTTTCAATTTGCATTTTGACAGCGTTTTGTGACGTTTTGTTTAAAATACCAAAATGCACTCGTTTTTTTAAATGTTTTTTTTTTATAATAATATCATCTATTCTTTCCTAATTTTTATCAAATCGCAAATCACAACAGTTATTAGATCGTTACTTTTAAATCGTAACATCTCAAAATCAATATGAATACCCAACGCCAATCGCCAGATAAACTGAAAACGTTTACAATCGCTATCGCAAATGTAACGATACGACCGGTCGAGCCCCATGCCCATACTCAATATCGATACCTTAAACGTAACATTGATCAATGGCAACTGGGTAATAACGTGAATAGATCCGCCATTAGAGACCGCGACCTTAGAGACAAAGCTCGTACATATGATGATGAAGGAAGGCGAAAGGCGAAATGGCTTGTATATAACGTTTACATGTTAGTGAGGAGGCTCCACGAAAAGAACCTATATTACAAAGAGTAGAAACATGATTCTCAGATTGAGATGACAAAAACACTGTTAGGGTTCTTCTTCATGTCAGAAATATAATTCTCAGATCGGGATGAAAACTGGCGTTAATCGTTAGCGTGTATCGGTTTAGCTGTTTCTTCAGCTTCTTGGATCAGAAAAAGACGCGAACAACGTCCAGAATCTGGGCATGGCAGATCGGACATTTCCCGCCTTTCCACTGCAACTCGTTCGCGCATTTCAGGCACGTGCACATGTGTCCGCATCTGAAGCAACGGAAACGCAAAGATCGGATTTTTTCAGCGTTTAGCGTTTTGCCCAGGTGATGAAAAAAGACGTAGTAGCGTTAGCGTTTGCTTACCTGTAAAGAAGCGACTCGACCTGCGTTTGGTTGCAAACGCAGCATTTGCGTTTGAGCGGGTTTTCCTGGTGAACCGACTGTTGCAGACGTGAGTTGGCGTCCATGCACGTGTTGACAGTGTCGCTTAGCTCAGTCATTTCTCGTTGGAGCTGCTGAATCTGAGCTCTCAGTTCGTTTATGAGGTCCATTTCCTGCAACGTTAAGGCATTTCTCTTCATTAGGGGCCGACATTTTTAACCGAGATCCGCGGGTTTTCGGGTACTCGAGAGAAACAACACGATTGATGTCGGTTTCGCAGGTATCGGAATCTCGCGAGATTGAAACTGAGACAATGACTCTAGAAAACACGCGAGATCGAGACTGAGAGAGAGAGTACCCAAAAATCCGGATACCCGACCCGCATCTACCCTTATTCTTCGTGGCAAAAACGTTACTGTTTAAGTCTAGACATAGAAGAAATCTACGAGAAGAGAGAAGAAATCTTACCAGAGAGTGGTGATTATGGACAGGTAAGAGCGGTGTGGAAGTAACTCCCGTGTCCCGGGAACTCCAGATTCCGCCGGGAGAAGGCAAAAACATCTGAGAGGACGAGTGGCTGGAGTCATCGCTCTCTTGACCTTCTTCCGCTTCGATCTGATCTCCTTCTTCTTCTTCTTCTCTTCCATCTTCAACTTTCTCATCTTCCACTTCTTCTTCTTCCAGGTTCGATTCTCGGGTTATTTCCCATCTGTCAGTTCGTTCTTCGACACGCTGAATAGGTTGTCTCTGCACACGGGACATCATCAGCCTGTCAATATTCTCGCGCAAGTCGCTCTCGAGAAAGCTCGAAACCGTTCTCCTGTAATAATGTCCGCAAACCCGATTCAGTACATGATTATTGCATTCGATTCGATCAAACAGTCAGTGTTTGTTTACCTCTCAAGGAGTCTGCATATATCCTCCTTTCCAGACGGAGTGTTATTCATCACTTCCATATACCGATTCTTCCTCAGGTCTTCCCAGTAACTCCGTGGCCGAGATATTTCGCTGAACCAGTCGTAGTTCGTGTCTCCGTAATACGATTGCTCGTCCTCGTACCCTTCCCACTCGTTCAAAGACGACGTTTCTTGTCGCTCAAGGTACAAACCCTCCTTTTTTTCCCACATGGCGTTTTCTTCATTCGCGGTTTCTTGCGCATGGCAAGTCCTCTTTGATTCATCCTCTCCAATGGCAGTATCATCGTTCTTGGGTAGGTTTGCTTCTTCTTTCTCTACCTTTCGATCCATAGAAGCTTCCGGAAGATTACCGGTTTCTTTCGATTGTCTAGAACTTTCTGCTACTGTTGTTTCCCTGTCTACCTCCTTCGACATGTCGTTTCTTCGGTCTATTGCAGATGAGGTGGCGGAGTTTGCAGGGTTAACCCTAAATCTCTCCCTGCTTTCAGATTCAAGATTCATAACCGGAGAAAAAACAAGAACTGAAAACCGAAATCCAGAAGCTTGTAAGAAAAGTAAACGTAGATTCGAATACCTCAGATGCATAACTGCAGAACCTGTTTCCTGGCGAGCTGTTTTAACGTTAGAGCTATGGCGATCTTGAATTGCTATGCATCTCTGGAGAGTCCTTAGCCGTAGCATTGACTTTTGAATCCATGGAAAAGCAAAACGTTTTCGCTATTTCAGGGGATTCTTTGTAACGAATGAAAGTTTGGGGTCGATTCTTTAATTACTGGAAAATTTACCTGGAGACGGCCACGTTGAGGAAACTTGGAAACTGAGTTGCGTTCGCGAAGTGAGTCCAGTTCATGGTGGCGATCGCGTTCGAGCTGCATGAGCAAATCGGCAAATGCTTGCCGGCCTCGAATTCTCGGCGAGCAAGCAACCACCGGAAAAAGGGTTTTTTCCGACAACGTCGACGAACATGAAGACAGACAAGGCCTCGGGGTTCTGATTGTCGGCAATCCGATGACTCCTCCGGCGATTTGCTTCTGTTCATTGCTCAGTTGCTTGATAATGTCGGAGACTCTGCCCCATTTGCTCTCGCCGGAATCAGACACCGAACAAGATGACCCAGATTCAATCTCCAAAGTCTGATCTGGGTTCTTCGATTCACCGTCCGGTTCAGATTCTCCGTCGAGACAGAGAGTTTCTTGAACGTTGTTTGCTCCTGAGCTTCTCCAGCTACTGCTCGCCGTCGATTGGTCCTGGATCGGTGGATTCCCACCGTTGGATCGAATCAGCCTGGCCTCCCATATCTGAACCAGAGAAGAAGCTCCGACGGGTTCGTTTCTCTTGGAATTCTCAGGCCTCTCTCTTCTGGGAATCGATTCTTTCGGCGGTAAGTTCGCTGATTCTTTGGGAAAATGCTTTTGAGTTGTCTGACTCGAGCCGTCGGAAAAGATACCGTCTTTTTTCGGACGGTAGAACTCCGGTGGTCGGAGACGGTTGCTTCTGTTCTGTTGTTGCTGGTTCTCGATCCAAGAATCGATCCGATTCTGAGTATTCAGGTCGGAAATTGCAGATTCAGCAGAGATACGATTCCGGATTCGCTGTTGCTGCTGATAATGATGATGGTGATGATGATGGTCTTTGACCAGAGCTTTCAGATTCTTCTCGAAAACATTGTCGGCCCGTTGGTTCCGATCTCTCAGAACACAGCCGAAGTTCTGAGCCGACACGATTTCCACCTGGGGAGACGCCATTGTTGGTCTTTTCCCTCTGATTCGAATCAGAATCGAATCAATCTAATCGCGCATGAACACGAATACAAACACAGACCCATTGTCTGGAATCTGAATCAGATGGGTATGGGGGATCCAAGGGATTGAAATCAGCCCTCTCTCCAAGAAAAAACGAAATTTGTTTTCGATTACAGAAGACACTGAATTTTCTCTCCGTTTCTGCTAAAAACAGAGGATTCTAAAAACAGAGCAACAAGTGGTGGAGAGATGACGAAGAAGAAGAAGAGCCCAATGCAACAGTAGAAGATTTCTTCTTCTTTTTTTTCCTGTCGATAAACGCTCCACCACTTAAATAATATGTGAACCCAAAAATCGCTCTGTTTTGTTTGTTTTGTTCTGTTTCTCTCCCTAAACTTAGGAACATGTCCTAACGAAGACCAAGATCTTTAGTTTCTCGAGGAAGAAGTTTCTCTTGTGTCTTCACTTTTATAATGAAATATTATATTTTATATGCAAAAATGTTGGTCCAAAAATTACATAAAAATATCAGTCCGGGCTTCGAAATCTACCGTTTTATTCGAACAAAAATAAAGCGCATATGGTTGCCCCATAATATATTGTAACGTTAGATTAATATTTTTTTTTTTGTGAGAAAATATCCTTCATTTTTATTTGATAAAAGCTAAACTAATTTTCTTTATTTCTATTATTTAATGTTAACTTATTGAAGGCCTTTGATATCTCTCACCTACTTCTCATTCAGTGTTTGCAGTTAATTCACATGTAAAATTGTGCATATTTGACCAGCTAAAAATAGGTGTAGAATTTAGGTTTTTAGTTTTTTTTATTTAATACAAATCATATTTAATCAATTTGTATTAAAATAGTTATTTTTAATAAAATTATTTTATTATGTTTTTATATAGGATTAAATCGATTAATTTGATTTAAAAAAATTTGGTTCATACACATGACTATATGTTATAAAATTTGGTTCTTTACATATAATTTTATAAATATATATATATATATATATATTATAAAATTATTTTTAATTTAACATTTCTTGTTAAATAACAACATTTAGAAAAGTAGAAAAATACGGATGGTTGACTCAATTTTTGGGGTCTGACCTATAACAATTTAATCGATTTTTAGAAGTTTTGACGTTTTAATTGTCATTATAACTAGTAAAAAGGAAAAAAAAACAAGATTATTGGACACCACTAAAAATAGTTGCAACTCCTAAAATGTCTCACATGCACAGATGAATGCATTATTAATTCGACGTGTCAATAAGAGTAATTAATTAATTAGGGACAATTAAATTATATATAATGAATGGATCGAGAGGGAGATAGTCAAAGGAGCCGTTGGGGATTTTTAGCCGTTGGCGAGTGGGATCCACGCTCTCTTTCTCATGGCATTAAAAAATATAAAAGGAAAAAAATAATTATTACTCTTTTTAAATAGTGTATATATGTATATATACACACTATAGTGTACAAATAGTTTAACGATTAATAGAGCGTATTATTTGGCTCTAGCCACTAGGTGCTCCTTAACGTTCATAACGTTCCACGCACCTCCTCTTATCCCCCATATTTCGGTTCTAATAACAAAATCGAATTTATTTTAAAAATAATTAATATATTTTTTAAAATCAAAATAATCCAATTTCTATTATTATTTTATTAGGGTTCTTATAACATCCTGTTTGGTTTCTACTGTAGCTTTATCTTATCCGTGGATGGGATAGTCTTCGAGATGGCAATGGGCCTAAAGTGTCCAATAGGTTATGTCGATGTTTGGCCCAATATTACCATTCATGGGCTTATTAAAAAATTGAGAAGATTGGTTTAGTTTGTTACTGACTTAATAACTGAATAATTAAATCAATTGAACGCATAACCCGTAATCAGATATAAAAACCCAATTTTTATTTAAAATAAAAAATCGAATTTAAATCAAAGCAAACTGAATAAAAAAATTTATTTGAATATAAATACTTTTATAATAAAAACTTGAATCCAAATCGAATTAGAACCTAATCAAACCGAACTAAATTCAATACAAAAACAGAATAAACGAACACAGAACCGACCCAAACCGAGAAACCCAAAATCATCGCTTTCTATTAGAACGAGTAGTATATTATACAGTTAATATATATATATATATATATATATATATATAAACAAAAATACCATAATCATCACCCATATAATCCAATTTCCGACCAAATCGGAGAAGCTTTGCGCCGTTGCCGGCGGGCGAATTAGCTGCGAGACTATTCGTCTCTGTTCGAGTATCCGATCAAATCGGGCCGTGGAATCTCCCTGTCTCCGCCACCTCTCATGTCTACCGGTAAGTTTGGACATCACCCACTTCCTTTTTCGAGAAATTTTCTCGACTTCTATCCCTTTTTTTTTTCAATTGGTTTCTCTTGTTTGTTCGATCTTTCAGCCGTATTCTCTGCTGGGTTCTGGCCCCTTTGCCTTAAATTAGGGTTTATGAACACTGATCACGCTTACCCCTTCCTTCGGGGTTCATCATGTTCATGAAAAGACTTTATTTGCAGTCCCAATCGATCCTCTAGAAGTTCATCTTTGTAAAATTGATTCATCTTACAAAAAAAAAACAAACAAAAGATAAAAAAAAAGGGAGTGATCTTTAGGGTTTTGCCTGTGCAGGATTTCGTTAGGATCAGAACTGGTTGATTGCGAAATCCAAAAGGAAGATGATGATGGCGATCTTTTCTCTATGATAGATTCTCTTCAATGTTATACAGATATATCAAACAAGCAGCTAATGAAACAACACCCGCCAAATGGAATACCATTCAAATTCAGGAGAAGCTAGACAGGTTTGATTACTACAAAACCAAAACCCTCGTTTTTTTTTATTACAGCAGCTTAGCAGTTAGATCAGATCATTCTGAGATTTCGGCATGGATACGATCTTCTGATGAGCCATATCAAACGTTGCGTGCAGGCCAAACAGAAGATAGTACACCAGCATTGCCAGAGTGCAAATCCCGAACCTCGCAAAAGCCCGAGCTCCCAAAGATCCCATGAGAAAGACGTTCGTCGCTATCGATAAAGACGGGAGCCACGGGACTAATGGCACGCCCCAGATTTCGGGTTTTCTTTGCTGAGGGACGAAGAAAACGATCCCCATTGTCCCCAAGAACCAGAGAGGAACCGTTATCGTGTACCCGATCCATCCGTTAGGGTTTATTCCCCAGAAAGCCGAGGTTCCCATTGAAGAAGCAATGATGATTAGTAGGAAGATGGTAAGCTTAAGGAGATTAGAACTTGGAGTGACTTGTTTGACATAGTATCTCCTCACTAGAAGGGCAATAGCCATCATTGTGAAGATGAACAGAGTGCTTATGGATAGGAGGCTAGCTAAGACATCTAGGCCCGAGAAGAGAGCGATGAGAGCACTGGGGATGGCCACGAGGAACGTGGCGTTTATCGGGGTTCCCGTTTTCGGATGGACGAGGGCGAAAACGGGCGGGATCATGTGAGTCCGGGCTATGTGAGTAACATATCGGGCTTGTCCGAGAGCGCCCACTAGAAGAACCGTGGTCATCCCTTTCAGAGCACCGAGAGCCACGAGGTATTTTCCCCATTTCATACCGACGCTCTGGAATGCAACCGAGTAAGCTGCATTCGGATCGATCTCTGTGTACTTTTGCATCGTACTCAAGGAGAGCGCCATCAAGCAGTATATCACCGTGATTATCGACATCGACCCGAGAAGCCCTAAAGGTATGTCTCTTGACGGGTTCTTGGTTTCCTCAGCCATGGTGGCTATGTTATCGAATCCTCCGTATGCAAAATACACCACCGCTGCCGCTCTGAACACTCCCTCGGGACCGTAAGGGAAGAAATGCGTCAAATTCGAAGAATCGGCATGCAGAAAACCCGCGATTATGACGAAAAAGATCACCAGAGTGTTTATAGCTGAAGCTATCCAGTTGAGGTACGAAGTCTTTCTGGTGCTGATCGATGCGATAGTAGCTGATACGAGTAAAACAACAACGGCTATCGGATCTAGGAGATTGAATTCACGGGCGAATCTTGTTTTGATCCTTAACGAGTCCGGTTGGCGATTCAGAAGAGTGGCAAAGTATGAAGTCCAGGCTCTGGCCACGGCTGCAGTTCCGACAATGCTTTCGAGAAGTATATTCCCTGCCGTGATGAACGCGGCGAAATCCCCGAGCTCGATCCTCAAGTACGCAAACGAACCGCCCGCCACCGGGATTTCGACGGCGAATTCAGTGTAGCAGAAGACAGAGAGCATGGCCGATATCCCGGAGGCGACGTAGGACAAGACGATGGCTGGTCCGGCGTGGTTGTGAGCTTCTTGACCGGTCAGGACGAAGATTCCGGCTCCGACGATGGAGCCGAAACCGAACCAGAGGAGATCCCACCACGTGAGGCACCGTTTCATGTCGTTCTCGCTCTGTTTCTTGAGCTCGACCCGTTCGTGGGCTTCGTCGGATCTGCTGGTCGCACGGTTCTTGAGCCGAAGACACGTCTGAGAAAGAGCGGTCGTGTAATGGCTCCAGCTCTGGAAGGATTCCTCCGGTAAGAAATCGTTCTTGCTCCATCTCCAGTAACTTGTGTCCTGAACTGCGTTCTGTGGCTCTGCTACTACTGAAGCCATGGTAATGCTTCCCCTACAGGATAGAGTGGGAAATTACAGAGCCATGGATGTGATATTATTTTTTTTTTTGCATGTCGGTGGAGGCTGGAGTCTTCTGTCTGCCGTTGGATTCTCTCGGGAGGAGATTCAGACAGTTTTGTAGTTTTGTAGGGGCTTCCTTTCAACTTGTGTTCTGTTTTTTTTTCTGAACACTTTATCAGATATGTTTATGCCATATCAAACAAAAGTATATTTAACCAAAACAATTACAATTTTTGAAAAATATTATAAATATGTAAGAATATATTTGTAACTTTATTATTATCCAGCTTCGGATCTGATTCTGTATATGCGGACACCCAATTTTGGATAATTTTATCCGACCCTATTTGTGTTGGTAAATAATATAGATATGAAGGAAACCAAATAAATTTAATACAAGTTTTCTTTCCGAGCCAACATTTACAACAACCGAATCGTACGTGACCCATCTGAAATCTATTTTAACTTATGATCCACCATGGTTTCACTTTAACCTAACCTGAAGAATGAGATGAACTTGGCGGTTGAATATTTTCCGGAGTTCTTCATTAGCCTCAGTTCCGATCCTCCTGTGTTTATAGAACAATGAACAAGTAAGCGTTTCTTCAATATCGGAACCATGATTCAGTATATCAAGTACGGTTCGTTTATGATCCCCAGAGTAGAACGTTTACCCGATCTTGGAACCGTGCTTGCCGACGAGAATCTTGCGTTGGCTAACTTTCGGGGTGATGAAGTGCTGCTCGATCCGCAGAGATCCATCCCTCAACTCTTTCCAACCCATCAGACGGTGTTCGACTCCATACGGAACTTCCTGCAAGTTTTTGTTACGCTTTTTGTCGGGAAGAGCAGAAACCCATATACGGAGAGAATACAGAGAGGTTTGTTGTACCTGATGGACATGGTCTAGTAATCTCTCCCGAACTGTCGACACGCTCTTCATGACTTCTTCACTCATGGTGAGTGGATCTTCCTCCCACGGCCTTTTCACTGCCTAAAGCACGAGAAAAAAAGTCCCCGAGGACGGTTAGATAAATGCTTCGGAACATAACAATGGCAGAAGAAAACGGAATCTGACATGTTTTGAGTTATGCAGAAGCATCAAACATCATGATTCAGACAACATGGGGCTTAGAGAGTGACAGAGAGAATGGAAAAACATGCCTGATCCATCAAGTACTGGGTAAGATCTTTAACTCCAGAGCCCTTCAGTCCTGAGATCATGAAAAATCTACAAACACAGACAGCAGATGGGAAGTTATCGAGATTCTGTTCAAGGAATCTACTTCTCTTTTTGCTGTTTTATAATCGGGCTGGAAGGTACATAATCTACCTTTCATAACCCGGAAGATTTTGAAATTCCTCGGCAACCTTTAGCAACTCTTTCTTCTTCTCGACCAAATCAACTTTATTCATACATAAAATTCGTTTTTGTTTCGGGTTTGCTTCCTCGCCCATGTGTTTAATCAACCGTATCACTCTTGAATCGGGCCTACATTACAAAAAGAGAAAAACAACTTAACAGTACACTATTTAAGCACACTTCTCCAGAAGCTTGAAACTTTTTTGTATTGTAAATGATTGACAAAAGCTAAGAGTAATCACTGTTCCTTGTTAGCCATTTCTGTTCACAACTGACGCAAACCCGGTTGCAAAACCATAGCCACGTACACATACGACCAGACACATGATCAGAATATGTTGTGGACAGATGGGCATATGCATCAGCTTAGGCTCTTCAAGCTTCTGGATTTAGGGTTTAGGGTTTTAGGTGATAAGCCTTTCCGGGTTGATGCGAGGAAGAAGAAGAAGAAACGAGAAGAAAGGGGAGGAGCAGCAGAAAAGGTGGGGCCAGATCAGTTTTCAAAGAAGAAGCCAGGAGCAGCAAAGGAGCAGTAGTAGAGGAACATTCCTGGCAGAGAATAAATGCAGAGGACGTTATGTTACGTGCGTCCATGCTTTTAGGTTGTTGCAGGTGCCACCTCAGCACTTCTGTTAGCTGGGTGAGCCCTTATATATTCACGTTTTTCATTTGGGAAGGGGTATCTGAGAACTTGAATCTTTTGTATGGGAAGAGAGGGTATGCCTCTTGGTTAAAGGTTGTATTTCTCTCTGTTTGGGAATACAATTGGTATTTTCTATCTATTTCCTATCTATATTCTAACATTAGGTTTCGGGTTTAGGCCAGTCTTCAGTCACTTCGTTATGTCACATCCATTTTGAAGTTAAACAAAGTCCAACAAGTGCAAGAAGCCAAAAGAATTTACACAATTTGGCAAAAGACTAACCTGGTGAGATGTCTATGGACATCAAAGATCACAATAAGGACATCATATAAGTCTACAGAAGTCCAAGCATTTTGAACTCGAGCCTTGATATCTTTGTATCCGTATCCGCTCTTCTTTAGCATTAGACCAGGAGTATCAAAGAAACACTGCCAAAACAAAAAAGACATTGTAATCAAATACATTGCTCTGTTTTCTCAACAACCGAAATTTATTGTTCTGAATGCTATACAAGTGATCATACTCATGTAGATTCATGACAATCTGCAATCATGAACAACGTTACAATGAGCAGCTATATATATATATATACACATACATATGTCTAGAAAATGAGAGCAGAAACCTACAATTTGTGTATCCCCTCGTGTCAACACTCCCAATACTTCATGGGTCGTGGTGTTGGTTTTACGAGAAGCCGCAGCAACCTTCGTACCGACCTGTACCAGAAATGGTGAAAAGAACGATAAGAGCCCTAAAATAATGCTCACAAGAGTGCATGTACTGTCATCGAACAAAATAACCATTCCGAAGGACAGTTTTAACATTCCACAGAAAATCGAGCCCAATGGCACAGAAATGGTAACTTAACCAGAAATTAGCTGAAACCCCAACCTTAGAAAACTTAAGCCCAGCAATTTTCCGATACTGGAAGCATCCACAGGCCTAACTCAAACCATGCATTCATGGCCAAAACTAATACCTTTCCTGAAAGCCAGCTCCTCTATAAGACTCTTGAAGACGGTACGCATGCAAAAAAGGCAGGCTTTAACCGAAAAATGGATCAACTTTAAGCATGAAACGCCATAAAACATTCTAAACAAGATGCCCATTAAGCAAGAACCATTTGAAGATAAAAAAGGAGCAACTTTTAGAGGACCCAGAGAGAATCATGGCAGGGAAAAAGCTAGAATTCAATGTTATGCATTGACCTGAATCTTCCTAGACCAGTCAAGTGCACCATCTATAATCTTTACCGACAATACTAACCAACAAAATTAGGACATTGCCAATGTTTACACACGTCTCGAATTGGGTAGGACATTCCTAATGCTAAAACAAACTAGTAATCTTCACTATTGCCGTACGGGATTCGGTGAAACAACAATTTTGCATTCAATATAACTCGGTAAGAAGAAGCAAAACGAACCATGAAATTGGTAACCGAGGATTTTCCGGCGTTTGGAGGGCCAATGATTCCGACATTAAGCGACTTCTGATCTTCCTCCTTAACCTCTCCTTCGCCGGCTTCTTCGTCGGCCGGCTCCAACGCCGCTTCCAGTAAAGCCCTCGCCAGAATTCTTCCTCTATCAACACGATCATCATCATCATCTTCATCTCCTTCTTCACCATCGCCATCAGTATCTTCCTCGATAATCTTCACTTTACCTTTCTGGGTCTCCTTCCCGAACACCACTCTATCGACCCGTGCTCGGTACTTCTTGTCCCAAGTGGACTGCCTAGGGTTTTTCACGGAATCTCCATCCGAATCTTCGATTCCAGGGATCTCGAACTGGCTGCTGTCGAAGACGGCGTCGCTGTCGTTGACGGAAGGAGGTTCGTCCTGATCCGGTTGTGCCGAATAAAACCGCCGGAGAAAACTCCGATTAAAGTGGGGTTTACGAGATGCAACAGTAGAGAGCGATGTCAGGGTTCGCAGGGCTTGGAAAGATTTCATTTCAGTAAAAATGGCGAAACAACAATCAAGCAGAGAGGGTTTTGAGGTAAGAGACGACTCGACGAGGGTTTTAGAGGTTTATTTGGAGAGATTTTTTTTTGTCTTGGTACGGGACCTAGTTTTTTAACAAAATTGTAATTTCGCCCCTATATTTACATCAACACCAATTTAGCCCACTCTCGAGACAAATAGTAGCAGAACTTTGCTACACACACTAATAAAGATCGGAATTTTTTCAGTTGAAAATGCGAAATCGATATAGAGAATGGGGTTTATATGGCTTTTTAAATAAGGAATGCTCATCACAGGCCATTTATTTTGCCCAATTTAATAGGCAAGAAATACATTAATCACATAATGAAAAAGAAAAGGGCTAATTCTTAATAATAATGCCAAAACCTTTCGACACATTTACAAGTGAACCCTCCCTCTCTCTCAATTGTGCTTCAAAACTTTTCTATCTAAAGAGTGAACCCATTCTAAAGAATACAACATATTGGTTTTTTTTTTAAAAAAAGGGGGCTTAAAATTAAATAATGGAATTGAAGAGAAAACACACAGAAGGCCTTCTTTTCTTCAATGTTTTAAAGATTCTGAGAAGCTTCTTCCTTTTCCCTTTATCTCCACAACCAAATGGTTGGAGCCGAAGTCTTAAAAGGCCATTCGGCCGGCTAGTCTGCCCTCTGAGATCCGTCTGTCTATGGCTGCATCTATCGAGCTCATCTGAAACAGCGGACAAGACAAACAAACGTGTGATCTATCGTGGAAAAGAATATAGTTTTCTTTTTTTGGCGAAAATCCAAAGTCATCTGCAAAAACTGAGATGTATAAAGAAGCTGACCTGAAACAAAATCTGTGAAAGTAATGATCTTGTTGAACCAATCACCCACATTTTTATGACACAACAGAAAATGAGAAATATAACCAACGACGATCATTTACATATGGGGTTTCTTACTTTAGTGTGGTTATGGTTCTATAAATTCAGAATTTCCTGGCAGATTCATGTAATTGCAAGCTACTATGCTTTACAAGCATGCAATCCCATGACATCAAATTTTACATATAGCAAATGGTTCTTGCCTATGTTCTATTAATCTACCAGAAGGAAGAGATCAAGTCAGAAATTTGTGGAGGGTACCTCTTAGCAAGTAATAAAATAATTCACAGAACTTAAAACAACACGAATCTGAAAAAAGGAAAGCATGAATGAAGCCAACCAGATTATTTCGATGAATCATTTCTTCAGACAGAGGAAGATTATATAAAGACTTACTCGAAATCTCATTAGGCGTGTTAAGCAACTCTCCTTAACTTTAAAGGGGCAGATGAGACTTACCTGGCTGGTTTCATCATGCACCTGGTATTTTGGTAAGGACATTCTTCTTTCCTCCTAGAAATATGAAAATTTCCGAGTCAGAATGGCTTCAAAGTTATACTCAACTCAAGCGGAAGTGGGCCTGATAACAATATCTCTACATGCATAGGAAACTAACCATAGACATCGCTTCATCATCCCATACGAGATAGACCTCATTAGTCTGAGAGCCAGGAGGCTTGTTTGCGATTACAGGAGGTGGTCCAATTGAAGGGCCACTGGTGTTTGGACCAGAGGCATATGAATGCATATTCGGTGTCGGTACACCTGCAACACAGAGAACATAAAAAAAAGCTATATTTTGACTCGACTCAAAGTCACTGATCTATAATGGAGATACATGAACAGGTCATTTTCACACCAGTGAGAAAAGAACAAATATAATCTATGTAAATTAACAAATTTATCTACAATTCTAAGGAACCCAAAACAATATTCAGCAATTCCCATATCTTGTAATGGAGAAAGGTGGTCAATCCGATCAAACCTGGAGTAGTTGCAGCATTGTAGCCGCCTAAGCTAATAGAGCCAGCAGCTGGATGTGCATCCGCTGATCCTTTGGATTCTGCGGCAGACACGGGCTGAACGCCCACGGGCAAAGTAGTAGAAAAAGGCGATGTCTGAGAAGGTATGCTGTTACTCACAACAGGGAACAGCGGTTGTGATATAGGCATTGCAGGTGATGCCGAAGAAATCGCAGGAGGGACTGTCAAAGGCACTGCAGGTGATGATGCTGGCATATGCAGTCTCATACCTTGCACTGGAAACAGTGGTTGAGGCGGATATCCCATTGGGGTGGTTGGAGGCACAGAAAGTGCTTGGTTATGTGGATACCATGGTTGCGGTCCTTGTGGACGGGGAGGAATGGGCCAACCAGTTGGAGGCATAGGTACAGGAGCATTATAACTGTAAATGACACAAAAAAGTGATAGTAACCTAGGTCAAGGGTGGTCAAATAGTCCAATATGGCGCCTAAGAAAAAAAGCGGACCACTGGTTATTACAGGTGTTCATCCTCAAGCTTAACTGCATTCATAATTCCATATTGATGTCAATTTATTACCCTGGGGGAGAACAAAGAAAAAAAGTACATGCCTAGAAAGCTTAACTGCATTCATAATTCCATATCGATGTCCATTTTTGAAGCACCAAACGGTTCAGAGACAGGGGACAAGAAAACAAAACATAAATCAGAAGAAACTAGTGTGAGAAAAAATTGAAACCAGGAACTGCAAGCAATAACAAGAAACTGGAGGCATGCGGCCTTTTCTTCATTAGCATATATGAGATCCCTAAGGAAAGACAGGAATGGAGATCCCAAATATCATGGCAATAAAAAGAACCAAAGACATAAAGCATGGTCCACTATAAGAACTTACATTGGTCGCACAGCACGGGGAACGGGTTGAGGAGGATATACCACACCATATGGTCTAGGAACCGCACCGGCAAGAGGGGCAGAAGGAATATTGAATTTGGGAAGTTTAGCCGGAGTCTCTTCCTCTGCAGGAAAAAAAAATCAGTTAAAATCATACAATGTTAAAAACAGATAGAAACAACAGGCTATACCAGAGAGAAGTACATTCACATCTCCGAATCGTACAAACAGATACTCTCTTCCTTGAGGATAAAAAATGAAAGAAAATTAAAGATTCACTTTACTAAACAAGACATAGGATAAACGTGACATCCACCAGCTCCATACCTTCTTCTCCATAGTGAGCAGCCAAGACATCAGCAGGA